TGTGTTATGGGCAAAACACACAACAGCAACGGTGTTTGATCTTCATCATTGATCTTCACATCAATATTTTCAAGATCAAGAATCAGCTTGTTGAACATATCCAACTGCTCAGCCAACACTTTGTCTTCACTCATCTTGAATGAATATAAATCATGCTTCAGGTAGAGTCGATTCACCCGAGATTTGGTCATGTACAAACTTTCAAATTTTAGCCATAATCCTGATGATGTAGTCTCCTTTGATACCTGTCAAAGAACCTTATCACCAAGGCTCAACAATATTGCGCTGTGGGCTTTCTCGATCATGCCCGTCTTTTCTTTTGTCGTTAACGTAACGTCCATGGCTGCCTCACCCTTCAACGCTTCCAAACAACCCTGCTGAACCAATATGGCTTTCATCTTCAAGCGCCACAGACTGAAGTCGTTCACTCCGGTGAACTTTTCAATCTCATACTTTGTTGAAGGCATCTTCTTCACGCTCACCGCACCAATTTGTTGTGAATCAGATACCTTTAAACAAAGTATAAACGGTTTCTTAGCAAGAAACACACAAGGGTTAGGGTTAATAAAGAAGAAAACAACAAGGATTGGTTATTAAACTGCTATTCTTTTCTTTCTCTTAGAACAAGATTACAAGTATACAAGAATAACAAAATAACCTCTCTCCCTTGAAATTAGATTTTATCTTCCTATTTTTCCTTATCTCAAGATTGAGAAACTAACATCCTATTTATAATAAAATAGCACACTAACCTAATGGTTTTTTTTAACAATTACCCATTACAAGCTAACTTAGGGTACAAGTTAACTTAAACAATTGGGCTTACAAGTAAGGCCCAATTCAACATGCTAACAACTATAGCAATATTGACTAATGCATGTTAGAACAAATTTCGACTACAACACGCATCACTCGCGAACAAACTTCGACCATACTAGAGTTCGATCCAACATCTCACAAACACTATTAAATTTATGCATCTAACATAGAGTTTTTTTATTAAAAAAACATTATTATACTATTGCATATAACATAGCGTTTGGCTAGAAAGCACAATTAAATGCTAGAATTAAATTAGATGTAATAACAACTTATGTTAGCGCTTTTAAAAAAGTGCTATTAAAAAACATGATTTAATAGCACTTATAAATCATTATTATAATTGGTGAACGACTTTAATAGCGCTATTAAAACATAGAAAAAGTTATATTAAATAACCTTTTTGACGTAGTGCTTGTATGTGTTGTCCATAACCAAAACAACAGGAAAAATATTCAATAATTTGATTGAATCTAGGTGGGCTTAAAAAATATCTCTCACAACATTTGAGTTAGCTCTTCTTCTAATCCAGTAAACATAGTCTTCATCTTCTATTTGCTTAAACAAATGTTGTATATCTGTTCGATGACCTTTTATCTCATTTTGTAACTTACTCTTATGTTTATATATTTGCGTGATTCGAGTGAGATTTTCTGGAACTTGCCCTTGCAATGACATCAACATGTTGTTGCTCATCTATACTTAGTCAACCAACAAATGAATGACCTTCTGATCTATTAGGTAAATCTTAGTTATGAAGTCCTCATTTTACATCAAGCTTTCATCCATAACCATCTTTCGACGGGGTTGACCTAATTTTAAAAGGACAACCACATTTTTTAATGAAAGTCTGGGTTTCTTATATTTTCAAAAATCTTGAATGAATGGTAAATTAATTCATATTTTATAAAATGTAGAAGTACCACGAAAAGTTTCTATTAGTTAAAACCTGGACTATGGATTGTGAATTTGTGACACATAACACATATGGAATATATAATTGAAGGTGAATATTATTTTAGTGGAAGGTAAAATCCACCTCCTTCACATTCAAAATTCAAATCTCCACCAAATAAATAGAATGAAGCATAGCTACATGTGACATAAGAATAGCTGTGTCATAAATTATGGTATATAGTAAGCTGTAACCCGACCAAGACCAAATGTTATTTAACATGAGAACAAAGATATAACATTATGAGATTTCAAACATGTGGACCAATTGGGCTCACTATTTTGATGTGGACACTTGTATTTTCAAACCTATCTTCAGCTATTTTTATTTCTCAACACTCACATGTTAATGTTATTATCCTAAAATTAGAAATGACTTCATAAGCATGCAAATTTAGTTCAAGTTTATCAAGTTAAATCTATAATTCAAACAAGAGTTTCAAAATTATGTTAATAGCAAAGATGAATACGACTTTGACACTGATACGACGACAGAAATAATAATTTTAAAAAATTAATAAATTAATTATAATTACAAATATCAATGTAAGTGTTTAATACAGACACAAATACTCATTTTCTCATGAATTGTCGGTTACATAAATTGAGACTGTTGATAGAAATTTAAAAAATTATTTAGACCATACCTTGTTGCATTAACTAAAAAACATGCCATACATAGAACACACATATATATTCCTTATCATAGAATGGACAATTTTTTTTATGATATTTGTTTTGTTCATACCTTCTTGCTTTTGGAATCTAAACTAATTCATGTACTAGTAAGTTAAACAGTCAATTTGACTATAGTCCATTACATGTCAAATAATTGGTCAGAAAGAAATGGTTTTGAGTGTTTCATAAGCTTTTGCCCATATAACAACATCTACCCATCTTCCTCACACGTGCATTGACAGAGGTTACTTTTGTAAATATATGGTTCTTTCTGTTTCCTTCGTGTGGGAAATGGCCCACTTTCAATTTAATCAACAAAAAATAATTTGGTTGATGGAGATTCAACTTCTGTCTTATAAAGATTTGGTTTAAATGTTGCTTTATACTTAGTTTTGGCCTAATGATGGAGGTTTGTGTTTGAAAAAATACTAATGATTTCTGTGTTAGAATAATTTAAACTCGCGTTTCAGTTAGATCTCTTGAATTTGACTTATTGATGTAGGTTGAGTCTTGAAAATATGTTTTAGATTTGAATTAGTGACGAAAATTTGAGTTCTTAGGTGTTTCGGATTTTACCTATTGATGGAGATTTGAATTCCAGAAATATACTTTAGATTTGATCTTTTGGGTGAAGATTTGAGTTATGAAAATATGTTAAGGTTTAAGTGCTAAAAATTTATGTGTTAAATGGGTAATTTAAACTATCGTATATCGAGTTTTTAAGATAAACTAACTCACGATTCAAGTAGTTGAACAACCATTTTAATTCCAAAATTTTAATTAAGAGAAAAAAAGATGTCCCACTTTCTAACATACACCTATTTGATAAAGACTGAATAAGCAACAAGGTGTAAAGACTACATTTTCAACCTCTTGTACTTGTTCCATTCCCAAAAAGTCCATGTAGAAACACTATGAACCAAAACATTGTATTTATGTGAATTCTTATTTAACTAGCTACACAATGAGTCTTTAATGCAAGTACCAAAATATTCCAAACCATTCCATCTCTCAATAGAAGTTGAAAGTTGAAACTGCAGTCTATAGCCTTTCAACCAATTATTTTAATCCATCATGAAGAAAACCATGCAAATGCTTGGTTGAGAAGGGAAAGAAAACAAAATGAAAGAAAAATCATAGAAAGAACCACTCAAACAATTTGTGAAAGAACCACTCAAACAATTTGTGTCCTTTCATAATGAGATTAGATTCAAATGTTAAATTGTCCCATCAATATTGTATAGGTAACATAAAGATTTTCAATTACAATAGTTAATATTTAGAGAGTTAGATTTGATTAGTTTCTCAAATTTAGTTGCATTGTTATTGTTATAATCGACATCGTTTTTTAGGTTGTAATTGTAGATCACTTAGATAAAAGGACAGTGCTTATAGACTTTTCTGAGGGCCTAAAACTATGTTTGGATTGATGAATTTGGTGGAATGAAATGGTATGAGATGAAAATGAGTGTTATTCCATTGTTTAAACTAGTTACAATCGAATGAAGCATTGTAGAATAGAACGATGTCAACTCCATGTCATTTCATCACTTAATATCACATTTCTTCTCTTCTGATATAAGTAGAGCAAAAAAGTTATCTTGTTCCATCGTAAAATATTCAAACGATAGAAAGAAATATTCATTCGGCTCAGATTCATTCTACTATGTTTTTTTTCATAATATTTAAACATAACCTAAGTATTTGTCGACACAACATCTCTAAACAAACTCTCATTACCGTCCTTCGCACCGCTTCCATGTCCTACGAGGTCCACCTCGGATCAAAATATTATACAAATTGACATGCAATAAAAAAAATATAGAGGTGGTTAAAATTTAAAATTTTTAACAAAGTTAAAGTGTGAGAACAAAAACTAGGTACTTAAGGAAAAAGAAAAAAGCAGGGGAAAACAGAGTAAGGTGTATGTGTGTGCGCTCTAAGAGCATGAGAGTGAAGGGTTCTATAGAGACTTTGTTTTAGTTTTTCAAAGAACAAAGGCTACAAAAGAATCAAAGACCTAAACATAGTAAAGCTTATGAAGTAATGATCTTCATAGATTCACTTTTATTTTCTTGCTTTATCTAACCTCTCTTTAAAGTACTATTCAAACCCCCACTGTCACAACCTACATACCCCTCATCAGATAGTACCTTTCCATCCAAAAAAATTTCACCTTTCTCAACTTTTTCTACTCTTTCTAGCCACCTGCATAAAGTAGTGTAAGAGTTGAAAAAAGGGTTGTCAAGTGTGAAGTGAAAAGAGTGATTTTTTTTCCATATTTCAATCAAATAGGCTAATAGTTAGGTATTTGTTTAGCCTAATAGTTGCATGGAATTTGCAAAGTTTGAATATGTTGAAAAACATCACTATTATTGGTTTATAGCTTGAAACACTACTTTTCATAGGGTCATAGCTAGAGAAACAAAAAAAAGAGTGTATGTGTGTGTGTGAGTGAGAGAGTGTGAGAGTGTGTGTCAATCATATCATATATCTACAATCATACAAGTGGTGCTTCTATTGAGATTTAGTTTTTTTTCTTCTTGTTCATGGAGAGAAAAAGAAAAACATCTAAGCTCTTGAACAAAACAAATCTTTGTTACACTTTCTACTTTTTCATGCTCTCAATTTTCACAACTTCTTCGGCTTCAACCATTACATGTCTAGGTATGCAATTCTTACTCATTCTTCAAATTTTTTTTTATGGTTACTAATAACTCACACACAATCGAATATCAGTGTCTTAGTGTTCGAACCTGATGATGAAGTTCAACCTAACACTTAGTTTCTGCCAATTGAGTTAGGATTTGCGGATTCAATTTTCTCTAACTTATACCTTCTAGCTCTTTTCATTTTTGCAGATTCTAAGTGTACCATATTTTTCAAATCTGATATAGATTTTCAGGTATAGCCACTAATCCTATTCTTGTCCATTCTATAAACTAGTACATTTTTTCTTATCTTCATTAGCAATTTTTTTATTTATTATAATTTAGTTACCTAGATCTAACTCTAACATTATGGTAGAGTGAAGATTTAAATTTTATACTCTAGACTAATTTTTTTTATCGAAATTTATATATATATATATATTTTTTTTTTAATTAAAATATATAATGGGTTATCTTTCTTGATTGTGGTTGTTGAGTTCAACATTCAAGTAAACTGTAAAATGTGAAACTGTTACATATAAATTAAAACAAGCTTTTCTTCAAAGTTTTAAAGACTTTCAAGAATATATTTGTCTTAGGTTAGACTATTATTAGTCACAATACATTATTTTAATAATTTTAATATGTAAAATTGTTACTAGTGGTGTAGAGAATTTAGAAACAAATGATAGGAAAAAAAAACTAAAATTAGCTCATATGCAACAGAATAAGGTGCAGGGTGTGTCTATATGGACCCTCTGCAATGTGGAGTCCACAGTAACAATGCAACACATGTGACTATGTACTCGTCGTACTATTATCGTTGAAGTTGCGTTGAAGTCTCACGTTAATTAGGTTTTCGAATATGTTTAGGTAACTTCATCGTTTGAGATAGTAATTTTTAAAATGAGATGTAAGTCTATTTAACATGGCTACGTTGACTCTGACAGAAAAATAGTAAGGTGGAAATTGGACAAGGCATCAAGTCTCAAGAAAAATCAGAGAGCTCTATAGATTGGTCAAGAAGGTCTTTAGGCGGGCCGGGGTCATTTCCACCGCGATGCAACGGGAAGTGTGGCAAATGTACACCTTGCAAACCGGTTCATGTGCCGGTGCCACCGGGGACACCGGTGACGGCGGAATACTACCCGGAGGCATGGAGATGCAAGTGTGGCAACAAGTTATACATGCCATGACCATGAATATTTAATTTTCACTATCTATAATGTTTTTTACCTCTTCAAGTTTATTATAAAGTTGATTACTTTTGATCTTAGTGAATATATGAAGACTCTTATCCTTTTGATGAGTTGGTTTAGCTTAAGTTTGTGGTAGATATTGAATATGAAAGTATAGTACAAAACATGATTTGATATGGAATAGCATATAAAAGGACCTCTATTAGACCTATTGATTATGGGTTTATTGTAAACATATATATGAATTTGACATAGAGCAAACTTATGCTGTTTCATCATTTGGAAGTATAGTGTTTGGATTTACTTCCCATGTGTCTTATACTCTATTTTATTGAATGGTATCAAGTGATGGAATTTGTGAAGACAAGTTTATCCAACACAATATTTAAAAATAAACAAAACAAAATAAATTGTCCGTGATTAATATATTTACATCTTTGTCAGAATATGATCTCAGTCAACGCTATTTATCTATATATCTATTTATGTATTTCTGACTAACATTCGAAAGCGTTACATTGTAAAGTTTAGTATTTTTTACTTACACAATTTAACTTGGTTATTTTTAGGTTTATGCCATATTTTTATGGTATTCAATAAAACACAAGACTTTAGTTTAACCAAAAAAAAAAAACAGAGTACAATTTAAAGGTTTGTGATTGGAATATAATGCATACTTCACGTGCACACTTTTTGTCAAAAGACATGATAGGCGATGGAATATTATTAAAATGATTGATATGAATCATGCTTGTTTGATAGCCATTTCATATATTTCAATATAAATAAATAAAAGTTATGATGATATAAGTCATGACATTTCAAAATAGATGGATTCTAGGGTGATCCAATTAATTTGTGGTCCACCAATGGTAGGGGACGATACAAAGATTATTACTTAAACAAAAACCATGATTTGTCAATATCAAATTCCCCCGGGTTGATGATAGACATGATTTTATACTCTAAAATGGTTTGAATGAAATGAGTACTAGAGCATAGCAAAATGATATAGACATTTCATTTTATTATTTCATATTTTATGATAAACTAGTAACATACTCGTACATCCGTCCGGACGGGTACATAAACTTTTGTATAATATCGTTGATATGTAATATGATTAATATAATTAATTAAGATAAATAATTACAAAATTGTGCAAACGTTAATAAATTAATTATAAAAATTACAATAAATTATAAATAATTTTCAAATTAGAATTCAAAAGGCAACAGCTTCATAATATATAAGACAACTAAATGAACCTCTGAGATTAAAAAAATTGAGTTAGAAATATAAAACTATATAGATATTCCAAATAGATATTTGTGTATTATGTACCTATTACATGTTTTGAGAGACTTCTTTAAATATAATATTTATGGTTGTTTCCAAAGCTTGTTTCACCTTGTCATAAATAAAGATTTTTAATTCCGGTTTGTTTTTTACTTTAGAAAATGCAATATATAGCTGATTGTACCTCCTTAGGTAAGTGTAAGTTAACGTAATCCAAAGATTGTCTTTAAAATTTATTAATAATTATGGCAAAAGAGATGATAATTAAAATTATCTTCTTACGAGTTTGAATGATCATGGTGATTGAGAAGGAGATAATGATTTTTTTGGAATATAAATAATATTTCCAATATTAATCTTTAAATTTATCTTAGGTTCAATGACATGATTAACAAGTTTTGTAGATGTTAGTTTTGTTCCGTTGCACAATCCCTCGTATTGATTCAAATTTCTCAACAACATAATAGTTATGTCTGTTTTCTCCTTGATAGAATGATTTGACAAATCTAAAGTTTTCAGAAGTTAAATGTTCAAAAGTATCAAAATCATTTGTCTCAAATCTGTCAATTAAGTCGGAACTTAGATATTCTTTTTCATCTCTTAAAAATAAAATAAAAAGTTAGTTAGATATATGTAGAGTAACAAAATTAAATCTATAACTATATATAAAGGGAATACACAATTTTGGTATGGCCTATTTTCTATTTCATAATTACCCTTCACTTACTTCATATTTTACAATTCAAACATTAATTTAAGTAACTTCCACATGCATTAACCACCTAAAGGTTATTGTGGAAAAGAGACTAGAGATATGTAATAACTATCTGAAAATTATAACAAAGAGAGAAAAATATAACTTCATAAAAACATAAACTTCATAAAGTAAAACAAAAATTCAATGAATAATTTTCTCTCTAAATCAAATACACGATTTTTTATAAATGAAAATTTATAAGAAAAAACACTCATGTTGCCAAGGTTTATGGAACTGCAGATTCTTCTCTCATCTTTTATTATTATTATTATTATTTTGTCTTCCATATTGTGGTTGCAACTTCTATCATCACTTTCGTTCTTCTAATGTCAAAGTATATTAATTATTGTTTCGATGTTGAAATTTGTACATGTTTGCACAATTTAGTTTTGAATATGTCTTATGTTTTTTGCTACTTTTAATTTCTTGACTTATTCTTTTTGTAATGTGAAATTTTTGTGGCAATGAACGCTACTCGAGAGAAAATTGTCTTTGTAGAGAAATTGCCTCAACAATCCTTTTTCAATTTGATTTTTTGTCTTTTCAATTTCATGGTAACAAAATTATTATTATTGATTTATCATAAAGAATGAGAGAAAAAGAATAAACTATAATTAAATGTTGAAACATAGGATGAAGATAAAAATAGACTTAATTTTTTTTGGATTTTGAGTTAAATGGAAAGTCTTATATAAGGAGGAAGTGAGTGAAATGAAAAGTCTTATATAAGGAGGAAGTGAGAGAGCATCTAGATCCAAAAAAATCATGTGAAATTTTTGAATTTTTTTGCATTGTTGTGTTGGTGTATAGTTGACGAATGAATGTGATATGTATCCTTAAATGAATGGATAGTTTAAGTCTTAAGGATACTTTTAAATTTTGTTTCTATGTGTATTCGATTTTATGGTAGTAGAGGTATCATTAATGGTTTGTCAGTTTATTAATGAATATGATAAAGTGAATATACAAAGTATGAATTAGTGAACAGTGATTTTGAAGTGGCAACAACATAATGAAAATGCTACCACGTCTTTAAAACGAGATAAGGTTACAGTTCTATGAAAAAACCAAGGTTACAATATGCTTTTTGAAAGGTTAATTGATTAGAAAGTTGAATGAAAAAGATATATAGATAAATATATTTAATACGAACAAACAAACATAACAATACACATCACAAATTTTATTACACAAATAATTTAAATTTAAATCGAAATTAATAAAAAATATCTGTTTAAAATTTAGACGCGCGTGAGGAATAGGCACATGAGTACATATCACAAATGGACAAATAGGCACACACTACACACTACAAATGTAGATGTTAGGTGATGAATGTAATGTAATGTAGATGTTACAAGTGTGTGTGTTAAAAATGGACAATATTAATTTCATCTACCACTTATATAAGATTTGTAAAATAATTATTAATTATTAATTTCATCTACCACTTCAATTGTTGTAGAAGGCAATATTACGTTACTTTGAAGATAATAAAAGTCTTTGTAATTATCCAACAAATTTGAAGTATCCATTCAGAGAATTTGTTGACTTTTTCAAATAATGAAGTAAAAGAGCCATGTTCTTTGTAAGTCTCAAGCATCATCAAGAAAAGAGACTCAAAATTAAAATGTCTATATGAACAATATATCAGACAGAGAATCTTGAAGTCTTAGAGTAATTATAAGCACAAAATTCAAATGCAAATTGCCAAAAGGGAAATATGGAGCCACTCAATTTTAAGGATAGCAGAAAAATTGCAGCAGAGGGAAGGAAACTTCAGATAGATAGTCAGAAAATTACATCACAATATGTATGCCTCTTTCTTGCCTCTCTTTCCCTTATATCCTACAACTGAGGGACAGTGTTAGTAGGTTAACAAATGAACTGAGGTAGAAGCTTTAGAAAAAAAGCCTTTTATATATTATTTCCTTTCTTATATTACAAACATCATACATGTAAAACAACAACTTCTATTGCTCAAACACAGGAAAACAACTTAAAAAGTTACAATGATGCATGAATATGTTGTAACACATAGGTTCATGCCTTCTTGAGAGTAACCAAATCCATTTTAGCACCATAGGTTCTATTTAGGGCCTCAGCAAACCAACCTTGAGCATCATCAACCATTGGCACCCTCACTTGCATAAAAGGAACTGCAGGCGTACGCGATCCAGGCATCACAACACCAGCTAAAACTGTCAGCACATTTGCAGTATCTACGTCCATGCACACACTGATTTCAGGAACTCCTTTTGGTGCTGCAGGTATTCCCATTATTTTTAAATATCCCAATAAGTGATTTTCTTCGCCTTCGTAGACAACTATCAATGCCTCGGATTGATTGTCGTGAATCGTTGTGAAAACTAGATCCTTACGCGCTGGCAATCTGGTGTTCTTAGGAATTACAGGGACAAACTCATCGCCATTCGCCCGAATTCCAATGGCTAGAGGTGTGGCTTGGATCATTAACAAGTCCAAGTTTCCAAAGGGATCAGTGATCCCTGAGGCGACAGCTCCTTCCATTGCTGCACCGCGAACGGCACCTTCCAAAGGATTTATATCTTTATAAACTTCTGATACTTTGCATAGGTTAGTAACAAGATTCTTCACCCTTGGGATATAAGAACATCCACCAACAATTATAACATCATTTATATCCTCAACTTCTACCTTTGCATTATGTAAGCACTGGATGATAAGGCTTTCGCACTTTTCAAACACGTCTTTGTTCACCTCCTCAAACTCCGCCCTGTCAACAACCTTGTATACCCTTAAACCATCTCCCAAGTCTACATCGACTTGAACACTGATTTGAGACGAAAGCTGGTAAATTGCATCCTGGGTTGCAACTCGAAGCAATGCCATTGATTCAATTTCTTTGACCCCGTGATTATTGAATGTATTTTCAGAATCCGGTAACAGATGACGCATCATATTCTGAAGCAAGTCTTCTCCGCCAATAGTACTTCCTGCCAAAGCCTTTATCTGAGATACTCCTCCGTCAGTAGCAGTCACAGCAACATCACAGTAACCAGCGCCCATATTGAAAATAAGAGCAATTTTCTCACTTCCACTGCCTATAGATTCCTGAGAAGCTTTCAGTTGTTGCTGTCCATATAACATTGCCACTGCTGTTGGTTCAGGCATCAGCCTGAGAATGTGAAGACCAGCCATCGCACAAGCGCGCTCTAAACGGGTCAGCTGGAAACGATTGAACGAAACTGGAACCGTAAGCACTACATTTCTTATGGGTTGTTTCAGACGTGCTTCTGCCATTAATCTCAACTCCACCAGAAACATTGCAAGGGCTTCTTCTGGACTGGTGAATCTCCAGACATTGTTCACCAACGCAGCAATATACGGGCGAACACCAACGTCCAAGGTCTGCACCAAAAAAGGGAGATTTTTACTCGCACGAACAACCGGGTCAGTATCAACTCTCCCAATCAGGCGTTTGATGTTGAAAATTGTATCTCCAGAGAGCATCTCATGTTCATTGGAGAGTTGATTGGTAACTCCACCAGAAGGGCCTTCATCTTTGAAAGTCACAAAAGATTTTATAAGCTTTCGATTTGTTTTGTTTCTCAAAAGCTCCACTTGGGAACCATTCCATACAGCAACACTGCATTGTGAGGTGCCAATATCGATTCCAACTGCTATGTTGGAAAGAGGTACCGACTTTTCCTCCCCAGTGGTTTCACTGCCAGATGCCACAGTATATTCAAATTCTTCCATCCTGCATAAAACATAGCCCAAAGTTCAAAGTTTTCAAGCAATTTACTGAACAATGTGATTTAGAATACATAGCTTATACAAGTAACAGCTAATTATCATTTTCATCGACAAGAAATCATTCTATCAATAAATATACCGAAATAAAAACGAAGTGAAGTATCATTTTCATAGTCGGATGAAGAATAGAATTAGCAGAAGGAAGTGAAAGGAAAGAACAATGAGAAACCTGAGTGGTGATGCAGCAGCAGCACAACGTAGAACAAGAAAGAGAGAACAGGAGAAAACGCGAAAGTGAAGTGAATGATTTGAGATCACACCGATAGAAATAATTTCAAATACAAATACAGAGCGGTGTGGTGTTCTAGAGCTTCCTAGAAAGAAAAAAGAGCTTCCTAGAAAACGCTTTCACACTTTATGGTTGTCTTTTTTTCAATGGTAAAAAAAATTATATTTTGGTTTATATGTGTATTTCATGCTACAATATTTTTATTTTTTAGTTTATGTAAATAAAAAAATTCTTTTCTATTTGAAAAGAATTTTTATTTAGATGATTATGATGATAACAATGATGAGTTCTAAAACGGTGATTATTGTCGATTAATTCTGGTGGTAAGAGAGTATATGTTAATATTTTGACAATCAAATCAATAGACGTCGTGAGCTTGAGTTTTTGAGTTTTAGAATAGTCTCTCTCTTAGTTGAATTATCCTTAGATGTTATGGTATTGATTTAGGATTTATATGACTTGAACTTTTTTTAAGATAATTTTCAACAAAATTATATATTAGAGGATCCTTAAACTCAATCGTCTGGCGATCTTTATGGGTTGCTTAACCCTAATCGGGTGTACATTTATGACGTATCCACTTTCTGGTTCGTTTAGTTTCTAATGACTTGTGCGACCTTATTTGAAACATTTGCCTCTCAAATCTTGGTTATTTAGGCTAAATTATGACATGTCATTGACTTCATGGTCAATCGATCATGATGTGTTTGTTGATGGGCATGGACATGACCACTTTCCCCTGCAGGTTGGGAGTAATGTAATGACTCATGATGTTTTGATAGGTGATTTCGGTAGTCAGCTCAGATAGTGTAACACCCATATAAAAATATATATGTCTAGAAGATACATATTATACATGTTTGCAAGTTTGGTACTGAAATACAAATAAGTTTCTAGTAACACATTGTATAGATTACAAGCCAAAACGAAAAGAAAAAAAAACTAAAAACCATGCCATAATGTATACAAGATGCTCCAAATGTCTAAGAACTAGATCATATCAAATGATCTCAAAATAGAGTCTTCACAGTGGAAACAATGCCAGCCAAAATTCTAAGACAAGTAAGGACATCAAACAATTTTCTCCTTACCCTTCACGGAACCTGAACCACCTGAATTATAATCAACAACATGGGGTGATATAATAATCTCATTGGATTTCCTATCTTATGGGTTCTCTCGGCTTTACAAGATTCTAATAAATCTTAACTCAAGCCCAAAAAGCAAAGGGGCAAGACTTGAGTTCACAACTTCACACTATATGGAAACATGTCACTTGAGTCCAACAACTCAAACTATCACAAATCGGAAACCTCATCAAGGCATCCTCTTTTCCCATCCTCTCCTACGTCTAAGAGTACGACACGGGTCATGGATCCTTGCAAACCTTGACATACGAAATGGATTCGGATCCAAGGGAAACATAGTCCGCATGAATCGTCACTTCTCATGGACCGTACCCCATCACAAGTCTCTTTACCCGTAGGCTCTATTCGTACAACGGGAATCAAATCTGTCGAGGCACTAGTGTGTACATTCTAAAGGAGCTCTCTATGTAAGCCTTCACTCTTGGAATGGCACAACTCAAGGAATTGTTTCTGACTACGTGATCACAAACACACACATGATTGTATTCGACAATCGCAAGGCGACACATTCACCTTATTCTCAATGTAATACAAAGCCTACACATGTTCCATATAATGCATTCCACTCTCAACTAAGTCAACCACCCATCTGTGATACAAACCTAGGTATCACATTGAATGGATGTCACTTTCTAGATTTATTCAAGTCATAATCTTAATATTCTTAACCTAAAATAGATCACTAGGTTAACTCACTTAGCTCAACAAGTATTCCTCACAACTTTTATTTGATTAATATATATATATATATATATATATATATATATATATATATATATATATATATATATATATATATATATATATATATATATATATATATATATATATATATATATATATATATATATATATATATATATATATATCATGGCAAGTGATTAGGAAGGCATACAACATGATTAGGAACAAGGAAAAACACATTTTTTTGGAAAAATAGCAGTGTGCAATCGAGTTGCATTAAACAACAATCAATTGCACAGTTACAAAATTTTAGAATTTTGCTACTAGAACTCAGTGCACTCGACTTGCATCTCAGTCCAATCGATTTGCATTATCAAAGATTCAGGATTTCATTACTGTTATGGACAACAATCGATTTGCATTTCAGTGCAATTTATTTGCACCTGCTATTTTCATGAAAACTCACTTATTACCACTTGTAAGGTCTTACATCCTTCTCCAACAATTATGGAACATTAGAACAACATTTAACATGTTAATAATCACAATATCATGGATTTACCTTCTTATTATCCAACATGAATTTCACAATTTCTTAACAACAACCACAACATTCATCACATGAAGCATAATATATTATAGGGTATACAAATAACATATCATTCATAGAAACTCATGGGTATAAGAACAACCAACCCATTATCATGATTCTTACTAATTTTTCTATGAGTTACTAAAATCTTAAATTTGTATAATCACAAGTTCTACCTAGAACCCACCTCTAACACAAGATGGAGAAGTTGTTGATGAAGAAGATGAGATGATTTGATGAAGAAAATGATGAAGTTCCAAACTTTCCTCTTCCTTTAGGGTTTTTTCCCCTTCTCCCTTCTTTCTCTTCTTTCTCTCTATTCTTCTTTCCTTTCCCTTACTATGTTTCTCCCAAAATATTTCTTTTCTATTTTCCTTTTTACTGATACATTACAAAGAGAGAATGTTACCAAGTGGTATCGCATGTAGAGAAAAGTTGGTGGAAACATGTGGTTAAAAAGTGGCTATTAGAATTGGTGTGGTGAACAAGTAATCACAAGGTAATAGCAAATATATTAAGTGGCATAAACTTAATATTTGTTCTACTACAGTAATTGACCTATTATTAGTGTTATCAAAAAGTAACAATTAATAAAAGGTCAATTCCAACTAATATTAATTAAGTCAATATGAACTCACTAGTTACTTTAATTATCCCAACTGATAATTTTCAGAGTACACCCGAACCCAGGTGATCTCAAGTAATTTATTTAGAGAATTTTATTAAATACGGGGTATTACATCCTCCCCCCCCCCCTCCTTAAATAAAATTTGACTTTGAATTTAAAGATTACCTTTAAAAAGTGAGGGTAAGCATCCCGCATCTCAGACTCAAGCTGAGACAGCCTATGTCCCATTAGTGGAATTCTAATGAAACCTTATAAAAATACAGAAAAATTTGAAATTTTTAAAGGACAATACTTAATTATTTAAAAACATACTGTTTCACATACATATGCTTCAAATATATTTTACAGAGTTTGACACCGTTAAGACTAGCGGCCTTGCCACATAGATAAAACATAAAATAAAAGTACAGAAAGGAAACCAAAAAGAAAGCATACCAAAAGGGACCTCCTAAGTCCAACAAGACTGACACTTATACTGACTGTAGTAGTAGGGATGTGATTAGCGTTTGACAAAACACTAACAGCTCCCAATCTAGATGTTATAGTAACACATCTCCACGTCACTTCATATCCTTTCCTTCTGAGTTGTCGGGAAGTACGCAAGATTCGAGCTCATCGTCTGATCGTCATAAAATAATCCAAAATGCAAAACAAAAATGACACAGGGCTAAGATTCATGTACAAGTTTAAAAGTGGGAATGAATGTGTAAAATAATAATATATATGGAAACCATATTTATACAAACAAGCGTATCTTATACCCACAATTACATATACTTTATTTATTCTAATGCATCCCTGAACTATATGCTGACTCAGGCCACTAAACGCTGTCAATGATATCTATCCCATTTACCAAGATCAGATATCACTAGACCACATGCCACCAACGTACTCCCAATTACCAAGAGCTACGCCACCTAACTTCACATGGAGCCTAGGTGTTATAAGTCGATCGTCCCTGAGAATTCAGGCCAAGAACCTTGTCTTGCCTAGCATGCATAGATAATAATCCCCGTCGGGATTGCAGGCGACTGATCAACCTCGTGCGTCCCATACCGCACGGCGGTGGACTTACACATTCCTTAATGCAAGTCTATATGATCACTCACTCATCTTGTGGCAACTCTTAGCCATAAGTATTAAGTTAATAATGGGGAATTATCGTATCAACTTTTCAAGTTATACTTATTATCTAGATACTTAGGTTGAGTACCAAATCCATCCAATGTCTTGCCATATTTGATCTTTGTCCTTACATAATAAGTTCAGTTTGTATAATGGGTAATTGTATGGTTAACTTCCCAGGTAAGAGAGGTGGACTGTAAACGGCATAGTCGACCAAGTCTTTCCTTAGCCAGAACCCAACCAAATATAACTACTCATTGTATCCAACTTTCCTTATGTTAATGGGGATCAATTACTTAATATCTAGCAATGTTTTTCTCTCATTAACCGATTATTTCCTTAATCTATCAATCACAATCATTCAAGTATAAATAAAATAAACAATTATAAAATTAACCGAATAATGCAAGCACAATACAATACCAAATTGTCAAAGATTATTCCTATGATAATTAATTAAGGCCGGCGTAACCTCGCCTAGTGATTTGTGAAAATCATTATTTGAGAATAGGCTCTCCTTAATTATTTATCGCT